GCACTAGTGAATAGGTCAAAAGGTTAACATTGTTAAAGGAGGTGTGGATATTCCCTCTCCCATGCTTGCAAATACCTAGGTTATCACTTAAGGCAATAATTCCCAGCTTTTTGTGGGATTTTATTCTATTGTTTATCTGATTTCCCAAGATTATGTCTGTCTTCTAAAGTTCTGAATGGTGTACATATGCGCGTGCGTGCGCGCACACAAACACACACCCTATGATATTTTTGTCATAAGAAAACTAGGCCCCAAAATGGTTTGTTTGTCCAAGCCCCACTGCTAGTTTGTGTTTTGGATAAATGAAGTGTATAGGAGTAACTTCTTAGTGGAGCGAGGTAGCTACAAATGCAGGGAGGGGTAAGGCTATTAGAAATTGCTTTACATACAAAAAAGTCTTGGCAAGAAGTAGTCTTTTTAAATTGGGTTTTGGTGCTCATATTCTTCCTAATTATAGGCCTGATTTTGAACATTTGTGATAACTTCCTCCTAAAAATTAGCATTTTGCTGAAGCTTAAAATTTCTTGAAAGCTCCAATTTTGAGAAGTTTTTCAATTATGTGGTTTAGACCAGTGGTTCCCAATGTGGGGCCCCACAGGGGGGGCAATTTGATTTTAAAAGGGGGGGAGGAATTCGAGAATGAATTATTAACAGTGAATTTTCTGCATTTCTTATGGTGCTAGGGGCTTCATAAACAGTATATAAATATATATTGTGACATTTATGCATTTCAGTTCTCTATTATATGTTTTGAAACTTTATTTGCAATTTTTTCATATCACTTCATATTATTATATTTTTTAACAATTTCTTAGTGATTTCTTCCTCAGTACTTCAACTGTCCTTTTGTTCTTTTATTTTTCTCTTTCATGAATGCCATGTTTGGAAGCTTGTTTAGACCAAATTATGGCCTTGCAGGCTTCCTCCATGTGAATAGGAGTTCACTTTTTGAATAATAATTATATGTCGGGGGGGGGGGGTCAGGATTTTGGAAATGCTTAGGTGGGACATGGCCAAAAAAAGGTTGGGAACCACTGGTTTAGACAGAAATTTCTCACTTTGTCATGAGGAGTTTGGTTAAAATTTTGTGAGGTCACATGATATAACAAGATAGCCTTAAGATGTTTCAAAACCAAGTTTTTAAACCTCTGTTTAGAGGTTGGGAGGAGGGCCATAATTCTGAAGAGCTATATATAAGTTCTTTACTCCTCAGAAATCAGGCACCCTAGATTTCTTGTGTAGTGCAAGAGAGTGGGATGGGAGTCACTGGGTCTTAGCTCCTGCAGCTACTGAAGAAGATACTAGCACCAAGCCCAAACATGCCTACTCCCTCCCCTGTCTCCGCCTTGTAAGCAGTTAAAACTTCCTACACTCATTCCACTTACATTTACTGGGTGCCAGGTGCGGTGCTAGTCACTGAACAGCTCCACCCAAACAAAAATTCCCTATCCCTATGGTGATTTAAATTGTAGTGACAAAGACAGGTAATAAAATAGATACTGTGGGTGAACATTTTAAGTGCTATGGAGAAAACATAAATGTAGAGTGGTAAATGTGAACTCTACTGGAGTCCCAGGAGTGGGGGAAAGGAGTGAGCTGCCATTCTGCATAAGGGGGTTAGAGCACACCTGGAGAAGGCGAGTAAGCTATGTGGGTATCTGAGCCAAGACCTTGTAAAGCCCTCAGGTGGGAGGAGTGTGCCTGGTGAACTCACAGAATAGCCAGCCGAGAGTAGGAGAAAGGAGGCTAGCAAAGTAACGAGAGGAGGGGGAAAGGTATAGAGCCCTTATAAGGATTTAAAAAAACAACAGACTAATGGGAAACCTTCAGTAGCTTAAAAAAAAAAAAAAACCTTAAAAAAATGGAAACATAAAAGTAAAGAAAATAATATGGTGAACTCATCACATGGGTACTCATCACCCAATTTTTGTTTCATCTGTACCCTCCTTCGCTGCCTCCCCTTGCTCTGGCAAACACACACTAGAATGTTGAAGTCAGTGTCAGACAGCCTATCATTTCAAATTCGGGGCTCAGTTTTGAAGCTTTTTCCTTTTGCATTCTTCTTTCAGCTCTTGTCATGCCCTCTCTCCTCTGCCCACCAGAGTTGTCCTCCAGCTGCTGGACTCCCTTTTTCCTCACCTTCAGTGCTCGCGCTGGAACCACTCTGCCCCCATTCCCTGAGCACGGGTCCCACATAGCAAACACTTCAGATGCAGTTGGCAGCTGACTCATGCCACCACGCCCCTTTGAGTGCCCCTTCCCTTGCCCCTGCCATTTGCTTCCGCTAACTCACCCACCCCTAGTTCTGGGTGGTCAGAAGGTGCCCAGGAAAGACTTTCCTTTTGCTGATTGTTTCAGTAGCGCAGATATCTGCCCTCTTACAACCAGATTCTGGTTCCTTTCATGGAGAATCCAGCAAACATGGTAACTTGGCTCCAGCTATTATGTCCTAAGCCTGGCTGTTGGCTGGAGTCTGGACTGGTGTGGTTTAAGGGAAGGCAGCCCCCTTTCCTAAGGACTGGTGGAGTGGAGCGTGGGGAGTGAGCAGCCCCTTGCTGTCTTCTGCCTCCCACATTCTCTGACTTTAGAGATGCTGCTTTAAAAGAATATTAATTGTTTCCGTTGCATGAAGGGCTCCATTTATGCTTGATTACCATACAGTATGATAAAAACTGAGCATAACATGAAATGTCAGCTTAACTTTGTTATAAAGTCCATTTCATTTCAGTACTAAGCTCTGTTCCTCAATCCATAGTATTAATAATTTGCAATGTCTTGTATCTTCATTATTATTAAACATAAAAAATTTAGGACTTCTTGATCACCATCCACCTGGTTAGTAATCTGTTCTAGTAAAAGTAACCTAAATTAACTGGTCTGAGACAGCATTAGATCTTTTATCCCTTTTTTATTTTTAAGTCCCAGCAATATCATTCATCTTAGTCTAGGATGGTGAACTCTTTTCAAACATAGGTTTTCTCTTTCTATCTTTTCACCTATGTTGGGCTTAATTTCCCTCTCAAGCATTTCAGTCCTTTCCAGGGTGAAGATAATTCTCCTTGATAGGGAACGTGGAAGCAAAAGTGTGATAACATCACATTATCAACCCCAAGTATAGCTGACCTCTTTTCTTTCACTTTTGTTTCCCTCCCTGCCCCAAAAATCCTTTGAAATGTTTTTCATAAATGTCAGCATATTCTGTACTTTGATCTTCCTGATATTATTTTTCCATGTCCAGCCCATTCTTACATTTTTGCCTATGAAGGACCTGTTTGTTTTTGTTTTGTAAAACTCATTACTGATTTCCATTTGCACCTTCACTCCTGTTTTTTATTGTCTTATATGGTCAGATTTTCCATTTTGAACAGTTCCTCCACCTCCGTTTTCACTCATAGAATGATGTCCCCCCCCTTTTTTTAAATTATAAAAAACATTTATTTGAGCAAAAAGGAGCTGTAGCCTGGGAGACACAGATTCAGGTAGCAGCCTAAATTGTGTTCTTTGATGTCTTTCAAAGTCTATGGATGTGAGGTGATTTCTGGCCTTTTTCTGTGCTCTTTGAAATATGCTTCCCTAAAGCCAGGGCCTGTGCTTAGGCCATACCATTCCTTCTTGGCCTCTTGTGCAATTGGCAGTTGCTCTCTACTGATGTTTTGGGAAAAGAGTTCCCTTCTTTGACTTTCTAAAAAGCAATTATTTATCAAGACAATTAAAAAGCACATTGGACATTCTGGATTTTAGTAGAGTGGGAACTCCAGCAGACTTATGGAGAGCTGAAACCCCCTGTCTGGCTGTGTCAGTTTCTTGTTTGGAAAAATATCAGCTACCTCTTCCACCTGGCTGGGTAGTGCTGTGCTGCACACATGTGCCAGTATTTCTAATTCTTTTTCTGTTCCTCTTTACCCCAAGTGCCTGGTTGTTTAACATTTACTTTGTCAACCTATAAGAATGTAACTTGGGATCCCTGAGAACTCAGTAGAATCTTGATTTACTGCTAGCAAAGCAGTAAAAAGGAAAGAATAGGTTAGAAGAGAAGCTGACCTATATGACAACTTTTTTTTATAAAGACAAAGTCAGTCTCATTAAGAAAGGAGTAGTATTCTTCCATGAAGTACAGATCGTAAACACCTTTTCTGATTTGCACTGAAGTATATTTGTGGGTACAGGGAACAGGGAAGTGACAGGTTGGAGGGAGCAGTGCCGGGATTGGGCTGGATTCACATTGACTTGGGTTGCATACTCAAGCCTACAGTTAGCTCTGTGACCTGGGACGTTATTCATTCTCAGACTCAGAATCTTCATTTGTAAAACGGGGATAATCTGACTGACCTCGTGGGGCTGCTGAGAAGATGAAATAGACAATCTCTGGAAAACACAGCACAGCACCTGGCACAGACATATTAACTCTAGTGTTAGCACTTCTCAGTGCACACAGTGGGGAGTTTAATTATATAGACAGTTCTCCAACGACATGAACTCTGAGGGCAGGGATGGTGTCTCATGCTTTCCTTCATGTGGAGCTGGACAGGATAAGCTAAATAAATAATGGGTTGATTTGAGGTCAGCCCCACATAATGTGTGGCAACATGGCCCAAATAAAGAACAGGGGGCAGCTGTGTAGCATGAGCTGGAGTGTCCTTGTAAATCACCCGTGAGTCCTCACATGGGGAGGATTTCATTTTGGGCCCAAGAGAGCTGCTTTCCTTGGCTGTGTGGATCTTTGAATTTTTGTATATGTATAGTAAAGCCTGTTGGTTTGGAATTTATACCACCTGGAGGCACAAATTACCTTTAGTTCTTGCTATCAGAACTCTTTAACACCAACTGAAGCCAGGATAGTATCCCTCAAACAGCCCAGTGTCTTGCCAGCTGCGAGGGGAGACTAAGAAGCATGGGTTCTGGGAGCTTGCAATCTGTGGTGGGGGTCCCCACTCTGGCCGGCTCCTCCACCCGCCACCTCACTCATGTCAACTTTTTCTGCCCTGGCTTCCCCGGTCAGCATGGCTCCTGTGTGCAGTTTCAGGCTGGCCCGCCTGTCCAGCTGGCGGGTCCATGCGGGGCTGGTCAGCCACAGTGTGGTCAGACCCCATGAGGACCTGTGGCGGAGAGGGTCATCCCCCACCCTCTACAGTGCTCGGAATTACAACTACGACGTTGCTCTCCTGCGGCTCAATTTCTCAGGTGAGGTGCTGGCCCTGGGCGGCAGGTGCAGGCTGTGGTGAGAGAGGCACACGCTGGGAGGGCCGGCAGCGGGGCTGACTTCTGAGGGTTCCTCCCAGCGCTGTAAACGGTAAAGTATTCAGTGCATTTGGTCACATGGTGAACTTCAGCATCGACTGGACCTGATGTTGCACCAACTCTCCCACCTGCTCTTGTGGGGACGGAGGGCTGGCCCTTTTCATGCTGGGCTGCGGCGGGATTTGCCTGGATGTCCTTAGAAGAGCTTTGCAGTTGTTTCATCTACCAACAGCCGCTCCACCCTGTCTGCAGGCGTGTGCCAGGTCCCAGCCAACAGTGGCATGTTACAATTAATAAGATTTCTTCTATTTTTCCAAATATTCTTCCACTCATTCCTCATAACAGTCCTGTCAGGTAGATGAGGCAGGTACATACAGCTAGGACACCAAGTTTAGTGAGGGAAGTGACTCTCAAGTCCATGTGACTCCAGGGCCAGGGCTCCTCAGCACACATGTGCACATGCACACTCCCCTATAAACACATACACTCACACAGTACATGCTCACGCAACTCACTTCCATGCACACGCACATTCCCACGCACACACGCTCACACCATAGACACGCACAATACTCCATACACACTCATGCACACTCCCATGCACACACACACCAAACACACTCACTCCTGGGCACACACTCACACCATACACATTCATGTGCACACACTGACAAACACTCAGCACTCCTCCATCCCACTGCTACCTGTACCCTGGGGTTTCCCGAAAAGAAGTTGTTGCTGTATTTCTTTCATATTATATGTGGGTACTCTCTGAGCTGTTGTTCAAGAGTGACTGTTTCTAAATTGACTTAAATATACTTGAGAGGAGAACTTTAAGTTCTTACCTGACTGGAGAGCCAGTGTTACTTCCAGTGAATAGGTTGCCACAAAGCACACAGGACAACAGAACAGTGTTCTGGCTCCCGCCAGGGGCTGCCAGCAGAACTGCTCGGCCGGGCCTGCTCTCTGTGTTTCAGTGCAGGGTGACAGGCATTGAGAGAGGCACAGAGGGGCACCGGATGGAGTCTTTCTCCTGGAGGTGGTTGGGGGGACTGAATGAGAAGGGAAAGGGAGCTACTCTCTCCCCAGGTGCCTGTGTTTCGTTAATGCATGCCTGCATTCTACCTGAGAACATGTGTGGACTTCACCTGTCGGGCATTTTGGGAACAATGCCCCAAGAAGCCAAAACACCCTGGGGAAAACCCCAAATGAGTTCACAGTAGGACAAGCTGGGTACAAACACCCAGGAGAATTTGCACTTTTCCTCAGTGCCCGGGTGGGGGGTGTGCAGCCTGTACTCAGCCCTAGAGGGCGCCATGCCACTGCATTCTACACATTGTCCTTTGTGTGAGTGGGACCCTCGAGGTGGTACAGTGCACAACCCACAGCCCCCCCACCCCCACCCCCACCCCCAGCGGAGGCCTGGCTGGTGGAGACCAAGAACCGGGACTGTTTGAGAAGGGAGGAGGACCTGCCAGCCTTAAGCAGTCTCCCCTGTGTGGGTCTCTCTGAAATTATAACCCCTGAGTTTGCCCTAAACTCAGGCCCTTTACTTTTGCTCTCCTTGTTCCAGCAGTGCCCAGGCCTCAGCATTCAGGGTGCATGTGTGAGTGAAGTCTACTCCTCTTTACTCCCAGCCCCCAAGTCTTGGGGACACTGTGCTCCAAGGCCTCTGTGTTCCTGGACCTTGCTTTACACCCTGTGGCCTTGCTCTGTGCCCCTTCATCTTCATGTCTGCCTCCTGCAGCCCATGGCTGGGACACGCTGCAGGACACGCTGCAGGACACGGTAGTGCTGCTGCTCAGCACCCAGCTCTGCAACAGCATCCGCGTGTATAATGGGGCTGCCCCCGTGCTGTGTGCCAGCTACCTGAACAGGAGGGCTGATGCCTGCCAGGTGTGGCAGCAAGGGGGCCAAGGAGGAAGGTGGGGGTGGTGTCTTGCTGTGGCTGGGTCCCTGGCCTGAGCAGCCAGTCTAGGAGGCTGAGGCAAGACGGGATCTATGCTGGAAGCAGGAGGGGCCAGAATGGAGGGTCTGCTCCCCGGGAAGGCCTGGTGCCCCTTCACCTGGAAGGACTGACTGCCTGTTTCTCTGGTCTCTGTGCTTGGACACTTCAGGGGGATAGTGGGGGTTGGGGAGATTTGGGGGGCAAGGGAGGACCTGGTGTGCCCAGATGGGGGCACATGATGCCTCGGAGGGGTGGTCAGCTGGGGCCGGGGCTGTGCAGAGCCCAAGCACCCTGAGGTCTATGCCAGGGTTGCTGAGCTTTTGGACTGGATCCATGACATGGTGCGGGTGAGTGTGGGGCCAGGGTGGGGAGGGGAGGTTTGTAAAGGACCTGTCCCTCAGAAACTGTGGCCCTTACTCCTTAGGCCTGGGCCTGGCTGGGGTGGGGGAGGGGCAAAGGAATGCTCCCCAGAGTAAGAGGAAAAGGAAATGATGCAGAGAACGCTGAATCCACTGGATTTCTACCCACCCACGTAAGCACTGGCTGGGGAAAAGCCGGCCTGAGTGTGTGTTATAGCCCCGATCTGCCATTGACCGGGTGACCTTTGGCAAGTTCCTAACTTGGTAAACCTCCGTTGCTGGGTAATAGCCATCGTGGCGCCCTTGCATGCTAGTGTGAGGATTAAATATGGCAAGAGCTGTACACGGCCTGCGGAGTCCTAGGTTGGAGCGAGTGAGCCTGGGCTTCTCTATGTATTGATGACCACCACTGGCCTCTGGTTTCTAAGGCAGTTACTAGTGCCTGCATTCCCCACGCTGGGGGCAGAGCTCAGTGTTTAGCAGTTTGGGTTTGGCAACTCATTCCTGTGTGACACTGGGCAAGTCACTCACCTCCATCTGTTCCGAGGGAGGGCCTAGTGAGATAATGTGTATAGAAACACGTTATTTGTATCCAGTACGGTACAAAGGCAAGGCGTGGCGAGGGAAAACTCTGCAGGTCGGGCATGGCGTGGGTGGTGGATAACAAGCCTGATGGATTACGGGGGACACGTGCCTCCAACTCCTCACTCAAACCTTACAAAAAGCCCAAAGAAGCGAGTGTTGTTAGCCCACTTGATAGAAGTAGAAATGCAGGTTCTGAATGGTTAAGTGGTTTATTAAAATAAAAGTTACTCCGCTAGTGGGTGGATCCAGGTCCCTTCTCTGTCAGCTCAGGACTCCCTCCCCCAGCCCTGCCCTTTCCTCCTCCTCACTGCAGAGCAGCCTCCTGTTTTGGGGTCTCTGGCAGGTCCACTAACTGGAGGAGAAGCGGACCCCGATGCAGAAGATATGGATACATGTATCCTATTACCGCACACGACACAGTGGCCACCCACTGGCCAGCCTCTGGGGGTAGGGCCTCTCCCCTTGGGTCCTGATTTCTAGACCCTCTATCTCACCAGAGAGCCCTAGCGACAAGAGGAAGGATGGTCAAGGTTGGGACCATGGGGGAGCCGATGGACGTGGGGGAGGAGCTGGAGCGGAAGGGGCTGCTGGAAGCAGCTGGAAGCTGCCTCCTGCCCTCTCCCCTCCCAGCCCCTGTGCCCATCACTTGGGAGGATGCTCAGGGATACCCTGGGCCTGCCTTCTCCCTGTGCTCTCAGGTGGGTGGTGGTGAGAGCAGTGCCTCCTTAGAGGAGCCCCTGGCCCTGGAGGCTCCTGGGAGATGGGGTCAAGGTTGGACAGTCCAGATTAAGCCCATGGAGTCAGGATCCTCCCCACTCTCCATGGTTGGTCTCACCTACTTCCTGCTCTTACCTGGCTCTGACTGGCCCTGTTGGGGCAGGGGTAGGAGTGGGGACACTGGAAGGACACTCTGGTTGGTGTTGGAATAGGGTGTTGGTTTTAAATGACAGTTCTGTGAACTGGTCCAAGGAGTTCTTTTATTAAAGGAACTCTTTTAATGAAAGGGTTGTATGGTAACTGTTCAGTCTCTCTCTCTCTCTCTCTCTCTCTCTCTCTCTCTCTCTCTCATTAATGGGTAGAATTACGAACTGACTCCTGCTCATCTCTCTAGACTTTTGGCATGTACTTATTTAATTCTTTACATTTGTTAAAGCTGCGTGCAGGATGCTGCCCAGCCCCCTCGGTGCTGAGATGATGCAAGTCTGAGAAACATGTAAGTCACCGCTGTCTCAGGGAGTTCTGGCTTCCCCACAAGACCCATCTCTCCTTAGCTCTTAGCTCCTGTTCCAGAACCGAGCCTTGGGGCTTGGGGAGCTTTCCTTCTGCGGTGATGCTCAGCACTTTCCTGGTTAAGCTTCTCCGGGCTCTCCTCTTGAGCAATTGAAATGCAATTGGCATCTTGTTTCTAAAAACTGCAATGGATTTTTTATGGTGCTTACCCAAGGAAGTGCAATTAGCCTGTAGCACAGTGTTTCCATGAGTTTATCAGCATGTTTAAAGGAGTGGTAGAAATGAATATTCATTCCTGGAGGGTCTGCTTCCTGTTCTGGACCAGGGCCTCCTGCATTGTCTCTGGATCCGGGAGGGGCTGCAGGTCTGCTGGGAGCACTCACCACCCCCTGCGGTACAGCTTCAGGGCAGCGGATGCCCTGGGCAGGGAGGAGTCACCAGCGGGTCCATCAACTATGATCTTTTGTGTGTTTCTGATGTCACCCATGAGCATTTGCTTATGTAAAGGGAGGTTTTTGTTGATTGCAGTCATTATGACCTGTTAGTAATTAGTAACATTTGAATACTACTTCACAGTTTATCAGTCCTGCTCGCATGTGGCATCTCATTTAAACCTCACAACATCTGTGTGGTGAAGATACTGTTATTGTGCCCGTTTTATAAGCAAGAAAATTGGTTCAGAAAGATTAAGTGACTTTCCGAGGCCAGCCAGCTAGTAAGTGTCAGGGCCCAAATGTGACCTAGGTTTTTGACTCCAAATCCACATCACTGTTGGCACATGAATTAAGGAGAAGTGTACAATCGGAAGGAACCTGGCATACTCACCTGCCTGCAGTGATACTTTCTCTAGGCGAGGTCATCAAAACCTGGCTCCTACTGGAGACCCTCAGGTCAAGTTCTAACCGATCCCAGTTCTCCATGAGATTCAGGGCCTGACTCAAATGTTACCAATGAGCATCTTCACAGGAGGAGGATAAAGGGAACCTGCTGAGAGAGTTTGCGGACAGCGAGTCCCTGCTTGCCGATAGGAGCTCCTGCCAGCAGACCAGGCAGATGTGCAGACTCCGAGGCTCTGACCTGCCCTCCTATTGACATCTGCCTCTCCAGGCCTTAGGAAAGTGGGGAGGCGTGGGTGCATTCCAGGGCTGGCCGTGGGAGTGCAGGGGTGGAGATGGGGGCAAGGAAAGGTGGGAGATTCAGGTCCAGAAGGATTTGAATGAGGACCAGGTGGGTGCCCAGCTGTGTTAAGCTTGTAGGGAATGCAGAGGCAGAGAAGCCGCTGCCTTATTGGAGCAGAGACTTACTTGCCATGAACTATTAGCGGCCAGCCAGGCAGGAAGCTGCGGGGGTTCGGTAAACGCTAAGCAAGTTTCAAGCGCCTCTTGTTGAGTGAGTCAAGGCCTCTCTGTGTGCGGGAGGCCTGTGGTCTCCTCCCGAGGACTCAGCATCTCACCGGCCTGGGCACAGTGCCAGCCTCCTGAGGCTTTCCCTGGATGGCTTCTGGCCGCCCTGTCCGGGGAGAGCCCTTCTCTCTTCCATCGCTCGGTCCTGCTTTTCCTAGAAGGGCTGCTGCAAACAGGGGCAGCCCTGTCATCCCTCAGAACGTTCCTCAGGCTCTTCTCTGCATTTTGTTTTTGGAAGTGCTGGGCTCCCGCACAGTAGGACAAAACAGAAGACGGTTTCCCTCAGTCTTCCCATTGTTTTTCTCTCGCTTCTGCCCTCTCAAAAGAGAACTCACCTGCATCTCCTCCCACTCTCCCACCTCCCTCAGCATCCTGGGTCCCTCCCGACCTCCCCACTCAGGCAGCCCAGAATACATCTGCATTAGCCGCACCCTCGGCCCCTGCTTCCTGCTAAACTGATTGCAGACTCTGTAAACTGCACCTCGACTCCCCCACCTCTGGGAAGGTGGGAAATAGCCTCCTACTCCTGAGGGTGAGGCTGGCTTTCTTACACATGCCAAGGCTGGGAGAGGGAGAGGCGGCACAGCTGGCACAGTGCCTGGAGGCCCCCGGAGAGCAGTCTGGGACCCGCTGGACGGTTTCACGTGAGTTGGTGCTGGAGAGACCGAACTGGAGGCTCACAGGATGGAGAGCGGAGTCCTGGCTCCGGAGGGCGCAGGGGGCCCCCAGAGGGCAGGGGCTTCACAGCCCGGGCCCAGGCTCCTCAGCTTCCCCTGCCAAGGTCCCTTTGGCTGTGGCACCCCGTGGTGGAGAGTCTGGGGCTCTAACCACCTGCAAATGTGCTGCCCTGAGCTACTGACTCAGCCTCCCTGGAGTTTGGTCTTGCACCTGTCAAATGAGGCATCTGGGTCAGGTGACCTCCACGGGACCTGCCTTGTCAGGCCAGTGTAACTCAAACCTCTGGCGCCTCTGAGACCTCGGCCGGCCCATAGCTTCCAGCTAGGACCCCTGGGGAGCAGAGCCTGTCCCCTGGGACAGGCCTGAAGGAGCAGGTGTGCTCCAGATCAGGCCACACAGGATAACACTCCAGCTCTCCCCTCCAGGTCTCCCCTCCGGGTCCCTGGGAGCAGAAGCTCCACGCAACAGATGTTAAAGCCATTTGCCCCTGTGCCCTTCTGCCCAGTGTTTGTGCCCTGGCAAGGGTTTGAGCACAAGTCAAACCCTTGATCTGGCACGGCTCTCAACTGCTCCCTGGCTCCTTCAGCCTCAGCCTCCTCAAACCAATGAGGGAATTTCCTCCTCCCTCCTCGGAGACCAGGGCACTTTCATTCTGAGCCTTTTCCCTGGATAGTTCCCAGCTGGTCACAGAGCCCTCTGCCCACCAGCACTTCCCCACACAGGAGGCGGAGCAGTGAGGGAAGTTTCGGCTTGCATAACTTCGCAGGCTTGGGTCCATGCCTCCTCTGTCCCGAGCCATGTGCAGGCCTAGCGATGGAGGATCCTTCCCCACATCCCCTCAGTGCCTGCACCTTCTCCGTTTGATCAGGATTGTGCTGGTTTTAACACAGAAGGCCTAACAGGGTGTGCTGCAAATGGGTCTCCCAGAGGAAAGGACCTTGGGTTGGGCTATCTGTCACTCATGGTCCTGACAATGGGAACCATGGAGAAATAGTTTTTATCATGGCCGAGCCTGGGATGGGCTAGGTGGGCCTGGGCTGGGGTTAGCACTTGGAAACTTTGAGCTGAAATGGACTTTGGCAGGGTCCAGTGCTAACTGTGCATGCATACCCAAAGCTATACAAGCCATTTCTTGCTGCTATTTGCTCATAAAAAACATTTAAACCTGTAAAGAATTTTTGTGAGTTTATTTGAGCCAAACTGTCAACAATTGCTGGGAAACAGAATCTCAATAGATTGGGATAAAGCTCCAGAGAATGGCAGTTTTTCACTTTGTTTTATACATTATAATCAAAAGAGGAGATAATTGGGTTACATGAAATCTATTGGTGATAGGTTAGGAAGGTGGGAGAAAGCAAAGTAGAGAAACCTCTGGGATTGGATAAAAAGTAAAATGATAGACTATATATTAGGTAGATCTGTTATGCCTCTCAATCTCTAGTGCAGGACAGTGTCAAACATTGTTTCTGACTAATTAGGTTAGGCAAAGACTCAAAGCCACCAGAGACCGCCTCTGACTATCCTGTGAGAGGAATCCATCTTGTATTGGATTAGGCAATTGTACTCACATGTGGCAAAAGTTTTGTTTTTCAACAGGGTGGGGCATTTGCTTCTGCCTAGAGGCTAATTATTCTCAGTCTCTTAATAGGACTCAGCAACTCCGCACCTTAGGGCAAATTGTTTTCCAATAGGGTGGGTCAACTGTCTTCCCCACAGGCAAGGCTGCCTGTATAGCAAATGTCTATGTGAGAAAGATGATTTCCGCAGTGTGAGGGAATGACTCAGCACATGAAACCGGGGTGTCTGCCTTCTGAGCTCTAACCCCAGAGTCCCCAATCCTGGCTTCTGCTTGCACAGCTCCAGTCCACTCTGCCCTCCCTCTGCTGGAGCACAAGGTGGGTGGCCTACTGGGAATTTTGTGCATTGGCCCTTTAGGAGGAGGGTGCCTGAATTTCCAACTGTCTCTCCCTGGCAGACAGCAACCCTGCTGCTTTTCACAGGCAGATGTTTTGTGGGTCCCTTCTCAGTTTTGGTGCTCTCTGCTGTGGGGCCCATCTTGGAGATTAGAACCCAGAGTTCTCAGTGGCAACCCCTGTCAGCTGAGATATCTCTCCAGAACTTCAGTTGCTGTCTGTGGGAGCCTGGCCAGCCCTTTTGCGCCTCCGCCTCTCCTACCAGTCTCTATGTGGTCTCCACTTTTGGTCCTGGTTATCAGGGTTCTCTCCATCGAGTCTTCCATTGATTATTCATGAAGTTTTTCTTTATTTCAGTTGTAATTTTAGTTTGTTCCTGGGAGCATGTCTGTGCAGCATCCACTTACTCTGCCACCATTTTTAATCTCGACATATACCGCCTTTTACTTAGGTGAGTATAAGATAGTTAACAGTCAACTATGAGCAGGATAACAATAACAATGGAGGAATTTATGGTCTCCTTCCTGGCATCCAGGCGCATTTGGTTGTGCTCTGAGGGGGTCTGGAAAAAGGGAAGTTACAAATTACCCTGACATTTCACAGGTATGTTATCTTAGATGCAAAAACACAATAGACTCACTGAAGGTAAAGATTGACCTTTGTCAGGAAAGATACTGGCCTATGACATGATTACCCGCTATAAATTGCTTTTTGTTAAAGTTTTAATTTCAGACCATCCGTTGTGGTTACTTTAGGTCTTTGATTTTGCAAGACTGCCATGCAGGCCTTCCCTGAGCTTGTCAGGTTAGCATGTGGTCCCTTTTTTGTCCACACATTATACTGTTCCTGGGGCCATGCAAAGATTGGCCACTCCTTGTACAATTAATCCTAATAGGTCAAAACTGGTGTTGGAAGGTAGTAGAAGAGAGGAAACCCCAGCCCTGAAGAGGGCCCCAGGCATTGATACGATCGGTGTGTGTGTGTGTGTGTGTGTGTGTGTATCTGTGTATGTGTGTGTATCTGTTTGGGTTGGTATGTGTTTCATGTGCATGTCTGTGTGATTTGTGTGTACAGGTGTGTCTTGTGGGGGACTTAAAGGACCTGGGGAAGGAGGAGGATGTGAGGGTCTGGGGAAGGTTCTACAGAATCTCTTCCCTAACCCTGAAGGCAGAGTTGGTGGAGATTCTGGCCAGTTTCCATAGACAGGGCCCCACCACCTTTAGCTGCCCCCTTCAGGGCCAATGTCAGGGAAATTCTCACACAGAGTACCATACTTCTTTCTCATCAAAAATGTCCTCATCTTTTGAGGCTGCCACACTAATTATCCCCCTCTACACACACACACTCACATGCTCACACACTGGCTCAATGCTTTATCCTGGCAGGCATGGTCGTAAATTACTAGAAAGAATTAATCAGGCAGCCATATATTAGAAATACAGACCTGTAGTAGTGTGTGTGTGTGTGTGTGTGTGTGTGTGTGTGTGCGCGCGCCTGTGTGGTCATTTTCCACACGGGCTTCTGAATCTGAAGTCATCCTTTCAGGACTGCTTCCCCAGGCCCTCTTTAACATTGTGGGGCTTGGGGCACGAGTGTGGGTGGAAGGCACATGCCCTATGTGTAAACAGTTAGAAGTAACACGTCCAACTAGCAAACGGTTAAATTAAAAATGCCCTCTCCTCTTGCCATGACAAACATTCCCTGTTAAGGATGTGGAAGTCCAGGTTCAAATTTAGAATCCTTGAATCCCTGGACTCTGTCCGGGCTCATGCAGGATGGGGAGAGCCAGCTGTGGCTCCCTTCTCTCCCACTCCCTGGTCCATCCCCTGCTACACCTGGCCTGTGGCAGCCATGTGGACACTCCCCTCCTTAGGGTAGGCCCAGCAGTGGGGTGGGTCTGCCCTCAGGGACAGAGGCTGTGCAGTCTCAAGGCCTCTTGAATTCAGGGCCTAGAAGGGAGCTTGTGGGCCCACGTGGGCACATTATTTCAGCTCTGTGAGCTTCTCCCCTAAGGGAAGGTCTGGTCAAAAGGGCCAGGACAGCAAGGCTGGGATTAGGGTGAGGCAAGCGGGTGTCACTGTCAGGGTCACACAAGGGC